ATTCATAATTATTTAGACACCCCTTAAATAAAAATAAAAAATAAAATCATGGCTACGTGCCTGTTAATATGCACAATAATTTTGCCTAGATAATGTAGTTGATTATTAAATTTAATTATTATTTATAAATTTAAGTGATATTTATTTTTAACTTTGTAATCGGATATTCTTTTAAAATTTTCAACTTGTTTTTGTATAAAGAGTAAAACGTATGAATATCTGTTTTATATTGATATTTTATTTCGCATATTCTTTTATAAAAATGTTTTTTTAGAAAATGAACATAATATTATTAATAATAATGAACTAACAAAGAATACTGTTCAAGGTTAAAATTCATTTCATAACAATATGATAGGTATGTTCTATAGATCCTATTCAATTGTAGGTATAATATCCACCATAAAATGTGTTAACTTCTTTTTCCGAATTTGATTGATTGGTGCTATATTATTAATGGTATAAAATACGTGACAAATGATAAAATTATTGTTAAAATGTTCAATATTTTATTATGGTTGAGTTTAAAATATGTAGTACTTATGTTTATTTTTATGCGATTACTTTGTTTTAAGTATTTCTTAAAAATAATTTACTAAATAGTATTTTGATAAAAATGAAAACTACATTTTAATTTAAGATATTTATTTGGTTCTATGATTTTTTTCTTTTTTTTTTTTTTTAATAGCTAAATTAATTAAAATATTGTCATTTATTATGAAGATAATTTCATATTAATATTCATAAATCTCAAACACTTATTTGAATTTTTTATTTTTAACATTACAGAATTATAAGATAAACATGTTAAAAATACAAAAAAAAAAATTAAAATGTTTTGCAATTTGCACGGATTTATTCTTAATATTAAATTATAATCACTGTATAATTTAAAATAGTTTTAATCATTTCTTTTTAAACTTTATTAACTCGTTTATTATTCACCTGCTGTAAAGAAATTAGCCTCTCCTTAAATATAGTTTTTTCTTATTGATTAATTTGAAGCGTTCTTATTGACTATAACACTTAATGTATAAAGTCTGTTTAAGTACTATACGTAAGCTAATTATTATAATAAATTTAAAATAAAAAATAAAAAATTTAACCATGATAATTCTACTTAAAAAGTATATAATTGAATTGATAGTATCAAGTGTAGTTGAGTTGCAATTGACTGAAAGTTGTCTTTTAACTTATTTAATCGATTTAATTCCAATATAAAAATGTATTACAATATTCACGTTTCCTAACTTTCGATTAGATTATAGTATTATAAATTTATTATAAAACAAATTAACGTAATGTAGTTTTTGGTCATATTGCACTTAACTATGTTCAAAAATTACCTATGTATGTTAAATAAATAATATGTTTGTGTAAGTGCATACAACATATTTTAAGAAACTGTAATAATTATAAGTACTGAAAAATGTTAAAACTAGACAATTATTTATATATTATACAATATATATAGGATGCATCGACATATGTTTCAATAAGTATACAAAACACGGAACTATAATTAAAATGAGTATTGAATATACGAGTTGAATAATAATTTTAAATTGAAATAATATGTTATCATGAAATAAATATCATCATACTTAATATTATGTTTTATTCAAAGTACCTATTCGTTTTATACATTTTTAATAATCATTAACAATAAAATATATTATACAATAATTAAAAATCAAAAATATTTTAACCCGAATTTCATGTATTGAAATATTTGTGAATGAATAGCTTACAAAATAAAAAAATGTGAATAACTCAAAAATCTGTGTACCTTTAGATTTGTATAATATTATGATTATTAATCTTTTTACTTGTATAAATTAATACAATGGACACATTTAATAATTAAATTTTAGTAAGTAGAAGTTATTTAGAGATTAATTATATGTTATAATAGTTTACGAAAATGCATAGTTACTTAATGATTTTTATGATGTTCACTTAATTTTTAACAATATACATTTCTACGTATTGTATCATAGAATAGTTCCTGTTTCTATATAAAAACGTAATTCTGTTGAGAAAGAGAGACAGATTTTTTTTTTCAATTTGTATAAATATGATATATAGCTATAATCATAATTATTTAATTTATTAAATATAATTATATGATCGATAGAATTTATAGTCTTCAAAATAGTAAACCAAAATAAATAATACCTACTTGTAGTCTATAAAATAAAAGTAAGACCCACGTATCACACGAATCACTGCAGCGAAGCTGTGGCATTACAAATTGTGTAAAGATTGGAAATTTATGTTTAGCACGATTTAAGTGTTATTACGATTGATACAATTTTCTTTCGTTGTCATCGTCGTAGGCCAGTTTGAAGTTTAAGACGTGACATTATGCCGTGATATATAAGCATACAAAAAAAAAAAAAAAAAAAATTTAAAAAAATTTTTTTTTTTTTCGTCTACTGGTTCGGATGCTGTATCCGCGTGTTCTGAAACGGACGTGTATATTATTTTTCGGAGGGAGACCGAATATCATAAAGAGTTGATATTCGCACACGTTGAGTTCGATGACTCGGTCGCCGCCTCCATCATAATATTATACAAAAATATTGGCTCTGAGGTCTTTGCCGCACAGCGCGAGGCCTTCGAAAGGTTATCTCATTGGCACCGCCCTCATCACTCCTACGCCTGACGAACACGTGTGTTTATTATGTAGATGTAGCTAGTATGGTTCAATGATCATCAATATAAACCTTGTATATGTATGTGTGTGTGTGTGTCAGTGGCACACTGAAGGGATAGACTTAGGATCCATTCCCATTTTTTCCCTTTGCATCATAGTACCAAAGTTTTTTTTAACCTCGTTAATAAAACAATTTAAATTAAAAAATGTTTGTATCACTAACCTAGTTTAAAACGTAACATTTACGGTTATCATAGTTTGAAATATTATGAGATTAAATATATTATGTAAATTGTACAAAACAATATATTGGAAATACATTTCTTGATTACCCCATTCCACCCCTTCAAACACAATATACAGACAAATTTTTATTACGTCACTGATATGTTTAAATATTAGGTAATTATTATTCACGTAGGCAATATGTGCACATAATCACATTCGCAGTATCATCGTTGCCAGTAGCGTTATTTATATACACAAAAAATTAATTTAAACTAGTGTTTATACGTAAATTGAACTACATTACAGGCATATCTTACAATAAAATAGTTATTGATAAAAAAAAATATAATTTTCTTTAACCATTTAAATTTTAAATTTGCTAATTCCATAGGTGTCACTAATTTTTTTTTAACTATTATAAAGTCTTCGAAATTATTTTGAAACTTGATTTTCAAAGTAGAGTTAGAAACTATTGTGTACTCTATAGTACCTACCGCTAATATATTTTAAGTACTTAGTGTGAATGTCTGATACTAAAATTAAATTCTTAACATAAACATACACACGCATCACGCATGTACATAATATATATGGTATTTAATATTGAAAATCAGTAACAATAACAAATTATCAAATAATTATAAATATTTGAAAGACGTTGTTAGTTATAAATCCGTTGCAGACTAAGATAAATTATTTGACGTGGTATCTTGGATTATTTGGATTCCTTTACATAATAATACATAATATACGCCATTACTAAAAGTGTACATACTATCGTGTGTGTTGTGTGTTAGACAACGGTGCTATAGGTAACTATAGGTATATTATTATGCTTTTATCACCAGTCCGTTAACTATGGCGATGGCGACGACGACGACGACGACGACGACGACAACATCTAGAGTTAGTTCACTCATCAAGGTGTGTCGACAATATAAATATTGCCTTATCATCGTGCATGGACATACTACATGACTTGTGTACTACGACGTGCAATAACACAAATTTAAGGTCCGGTTCGAAAATAGACGACCTCGCTACAAGCGTACGAGTTTATAAATATTAAATCATAAACGGTACTTTAAAAGTAGTCTATATGCGAGCAAAGAAAGGAAAAAAAACTTTTTTTTAATTTTCTGGGATTATTAAGATTTACTGTTACGAATATTTTTTTTAAATATTTTGTTATAATGTGATACTCTGAGTCATGAATTTTCATAATATATAACTGGGTTAATTTAGTTTATACAATTTTTTTTAATTATATCAAAACATTCTGGTACGAGTATACAATATTTTTATTCGATCTTCCATGATTAACGCATTTAGAATAGTTTATTTAAGTTCATTGATGATAAGATATTATGTTGGATACCTACATAAACATGTCATAAACCACTATTTCGAAAAAGAAGAAAACCTTTCATCGACCTAAATACATGTGTAATAATTATAATGTGTGATGTAACAATGTAACATACTAACATATGAGTAAATAACTGAATTTTTCCAGAATATATAATGTATATTTAAATAAATACACTGCACAGAGGTTCTCACACAAAACATAATGCGACATTATATATATTACATATAACACATTAATATATTATGTATGTTTATTATATTATGTGTATAATGAGCAACTATTTGAATTTGTCCATGAAATAATTATAGCTTAAATCATCTTACCATATTCTATGTTTATTTATTTTTAATCGTATATAAATATAATACTAAATTATGTTAGCACATGTCGATTTAAATATATTAATTATTCATAATTTTGGAGACCACAACATCTACAAATGTAATTAAATTAGATTTTCTAATACAGTTTAGACTTATACAATAAACACGTTTAAGTTAGTAAAAAATATTGCATAATTATAAAAAAACTAGACAAATATTATGAGAAATAAAATGTGTGCATAACATGCAATGTCTTAAATTATATTATTTGTTAGTTAAAATAAAAACAATTATTTAAAATTTAATGACTCCCTCTTCTCCGGAAAAATGTAACTGCAATATTTTTAAGTATAAAAAGTATAATATAGCTATTATAGTTAATAAATTATAACATATTGGATATTATTCTGTTGCGCAGGAATGATTCCCGATCACGTAAGCTACAGAAACAAGATTTACGTGTGATTTTGTAATTCCATTACGATGATCACAGAAACAACGACTAGTACCGTACTGCCTACTGGGGGTGGCAAAATAAAACGTCCAAGTTTCAAATCCAGGGGCAGTACCGGGTCGCACGTTAACCGAACGGGTAGCTTTAGGGGCTACCAGACAATCCGGGTGTCGGTGCCGTCTTCAATGGTCGCCGAGCTGGCGTCAAAGTTTAACGCGGTGGTGGTGGACGCCAACCAGGGGGACTCGATGCAGGACATCATGAAAAAAGTGAATAAAACACTGGCCAAGGGCACTACGGTCCGTACTAAGGTCACTTCGGTCCGGGAAAAGGGCGTCGTGGTACGGGCCACGGTGGAAAAGTTTGAGTCGACCTCGCAAAAGAAGCGTTGCATCAATCAGATGGTCGTAGTGCGGACCAACTCTAACCAGCGAACGGTTGAGGAAAGGCCGATTGTCGTGGAACAGCAGAAAATTACAGGCCATCTAACTGCCACAAAACAACTATCTGTCGAGGAACAACGGAAGGTCGAAGATCATTTGACTGCCGTGGAACATCCCATTGCTGTAGAACTACCGACTGACGTGAAACAGCGAAAAATCGTAGATAATATTATGACTGCCGTGGAACAACCGACCGCCGTGCTAAATCCTACTGCCACGAAGAATCGCACCGTCGAACAGCAGAAGTCTATCGAACAGCGCACGTCGTCGTCGGTAGTAAAAAAGCTCCTGGTGCAGTTCGAAAACGGTAAAAAACCGTCGAAACCCAGTGTTCTGGGACCGAAACCAAACGTTACAACCCCCAACGTCAAGAGAAATGAACGGAGGCCACCGTTGCAAAAAGATACGATCAGTGCAGTGGACAGACATCTGTTGAATAAAGACAAACGGTTATCGATCGCCAGAGATCCAGACGCTCAGTTGGAAAGTGTTTTAAATGCGACGCCTCCGCCAAAAAATCTGCTACAACCAGTGGGTAGGGAGAATTCGCCACTACGTGAAGACTTGGAGCAGCAGCGGCCATTGGAAACGGACCGATCGACACTGCAAAAAGACTTAAAGCAGCAGCGACCAATAGAAACGGACCGATCGCCGACGCGAGCAGTCTTACAGCAGCCAACAGAAATCGTTACGACCAGGTCTCCACCGCCACTGCCATTAAAACCAAATTGTTCCTTTCTGCATGGTTGGAAACGGCCGTTGACTACGACGGTAACCGCTGCCACAAGTCCTATCGCCGCAACAACTACACTTACTACAACTACACCCCCTATAACTGCCCCAGTATCGACCACACTCATCACCACTACCCCTGTCCTTAACACTTCAACCACCAATACCATCACGACTGATCATAAAGTTGGACAACACGATGTCGGTGAGGAATGTTCATCGTCTATCGTCGTCGCGACTCCTACTACCTCCGTTCTCGCGTCGTTAGCCGAAGCTTCCCTCACCGCGACTGCTTTTGCCACTAACACCACTACCATCACTGCCGATACTACTACTAACGCAGCCGATACCACTACCATCGCTGCCGATACCACTACCATTGCTGTCGATACCACTTCCGAAATCGGTTCACATGACTACAACTACATCGTTGGTGGCGAATGCATTTACGAGGAGCTACGCTATATACGACTAACGTCAACCGATGTGGTCACCACGGCCACGGAAGCGCCGTTGTCTAACGTCATAGTGGAGAATCCGTACATCGTAGACTGCTCTAACGACGATCACTATACCACGATCGACGGTAGCGAGCAAAACATTTACGACGTCGTTACGACCGCTACAAACGCCTATGATGACAACAGTTATGAGACGGTTCAACCGCCGTTGCCACCGTTACCACCACCACCACCACCAGTCGTCTCCGTCACGGTCGCGGACTTGTCATCACTGCAACTTCCAGTCAACGGCGATGGTGACGAAAACGGCATCCTAGAGAAAAAAGAGATGTTTGATCATTCAGTGGAAATCGATAACAGCATTTATGGAATAAATGCACCGTCGGAATCCACTTCGTCCGGTAATTAGAATAATAATTACTATTCTTAATATTTACGCAACTTTTAAAAAAGTACCGTAACTTGAATATATTTTATCGAATCCAATAATTCAGCTAACTTTCTGATTGTTGTATGAATGTTTGGATTATCTACGTTTATATTATTTAATTTATTTTAAATTAACATAATAAACAATAACAATTATGAGGAGGCTATCCATTCGTAATTTGTAATATAAAAACAGGGTTTGTGTAAAGTTTTGAAAAAAATTAATTTTATTTTTTTAGTTGTAATTTTTATCAAATATTTATAGTTTATAATGATGTTTACTAGACATTATATTATTTTAAAAAAGTTTGAGCCGTTTTATGCTACCTATTTATAGACATTTGAAATTTTTGGTAATTATTTTAGTTATTTTTTCAATTTTTTATTATACAATTTTGAGTTGGCGTAAAAAAAATGAAATAGAATTGAATACGAGGTCTCTCGTAAGTAGTGATGTCAAAAATCCGTATCCAGAATGTAAAAAGCGAATAATCCGAATAATATCAATATAGGTAATTCGAATAATTCAAATTTTCTAGGGATGTAAAATTTACGCCAAACTATAATTTTTAAATTTTAAGTTATACCGACTTAAATAAAACACAGTCTTAAATCTACAAATTAAATAACAAATATTTATATTCTTAATAATTAAGCAACAAGTTCAAAATAACCGGAATATTTGGATTATTCGGATTAGGATATCCAAATTATTCAAATTGTATTGAAATCCAGATATTAGTGACACCACAAATAGTTTTTACTGAATTTCAAAATTTCTGAAAATCTAATTGTACAACTTTTTTTTTTATAGATACATGAAGTTAAAATTTAAATAAAATTGGCGTTTAAATGAAAAATTAACTGTAAAAATATTAATTTAATTTTACACAATGACATTAAAAAAAAAAAAAACAGGTATAAATACGTACATACCTGCTGTAATAAATGCCATGTTTTTGAAAAAGAATTCAACTTATCTAAAGATACACTCTAATAGTAAAAAAAAAATACTTATAATAGTAATATAATAAAATATAGGCATTTAGTATAATATAGGCTGAATGCTGATAGACCGCATCTGCTCAAAATTATTTTTTATATGCAATGGTTTATTATTGAATTCAAATTTAACACATCCATTACATTAATTTACTCAATGACGCGATACATATTGACATATTGTACAGCTGAGTTGTTACTTGCTTTCTCACTTTTTTTAATATGTAATTATTTTTTTCAAAGGTGTCACATCGGATAGTGTCAGTGTTGACAGAAACAGTAAATTTGATGAAGATGATGGTTGGGTAGATGTTCCTTCCTCTGAAGAAATTATTTTAATACCATATCCGTAAGTATACTTAATACGTCAAAATTATTTAAAATATAAGTTATATATAAATATTTAAGTCGGTATATTCAATCGTGTGAACGAAGTATCAAATATTTTTTTAACCGATAGATTAGATGATATTTTAATGTTAGGTTTAACGAGTTTTATTTTAAATTACAATAAATGCTTTATAAGTTAAATTCAAATTAAATTTCAACTAAATATTATTCTGAATATATCGCAATATTAATTTCATATAAGTAATTGTTACCCTAAAAACTATTATTAAAATAAAAATAAAGTATTCGTCTAATTACATTTATTAATCTATGTTTTATTAGTTCCAATAGATTTCGTCAAAAGCCAAAGATTAAGAAGCCAAAGAAGCCATTTTCAAAATTAATTCATGGACTTTTAAATAAAGATCATAGTAAGTTATTACATACTATTGATAATATTTGTGAAAATAAATCTTTAAACTCCTTGAAATATACAGTACTGGCAATATATTATACTTATTAGTATATATTATTAATAATTAATAAGTTTATAGTAGTAGTTATTTTATGGCATATGCATAAAATAGTAAATAATTAAGTATAAAATATTTAAGAATATGTTATAAATTATTAACAGCTCACAGTGAAAGTACTTATCAAAATATAAGTTTGATATTTAAATCAATAATTTAGTAAATATTGTACTTAACAACAAATTGCATTGAACCAATACAATTTTTTACAAATTTATACGAATAAATAATAACCTACACTTATTTATTACGGAAACCCCCCTAATGTTTTATATTCGATATAAGAAATAATTTTTAGGGTTATGTAATCATAATAAAAAATAGATAAAGAATCATTTTTTGAATTCAAATAATCATTATTTTGAAAACAATGAATATTTTTTAGAATATATTTTTTTACCTAATTTTAAATAATTGAGAAACGATGTTTAAAATCTTATTTTAATTTGTTCAATAAATAGTATACATTTTTTATTTCATATCTCAAAGGCAAATATTTTAATGTGTAAAAATTGAATTTAAAACTAATAAACTAAAAAAAAAAAAAATGATTAAATTTAAAATTTCTCTATATGCTGTATAATAGATGTTTAGTATATTTAATCATTAATTGAATCACTATAATAGACGCATTATTAATAACTTATAAGTCAATACCGATGTTATACCGACAATGAGTCAAAATACTTTGAAAATGTTATCGTACATAGGAAAAATACACAATGACCAAAATTTTTAGTCTTTACGATGTTTAATCGACAAAATAATAAAAAACATTAAAATACGCAGTGTTTAATATCTTGTTCTAATTTAATTTATTAACACGTATAACAAAATTAATATAGACCTACGCTTAACTTTTTTTAAAATTCTAGTAAAAAGAACTCAAACTAATATGAAACTAAAAAGTTTTAATTATTTCAAATATTTAATCTAAAAAAAGGCTTCAAATAATTTGAAAATAATATTGGTCATAAAAAAATTAATATAAATATTTGGTGAAAATTTTTAGTATCTACAGTTATTATGTTTTGTTATACAAGAAAAACAAAAAAAAACAAAATTGATTTTATCAAAAATTGGTGTTGCGTAAATATTCCCGTTTTACCGTAATTTTTTTCCGATTACTTTAAAAAGTATTCTCTTCCTCCAAAGTACTAACTATATCCAATTTTCTATCAGAAACTACTCTTAAAGTTAAAATTGAAACTTTTTTCTTTTATAAAACGTGATAACTAACTCAAAAGTAAAAAGTAAGAAACAACCTACATCTTTGAAAAAATATTAAAAAAATAAATATCGTTTTACTCTTATTCTAAAATACAAATAAAAATTGTATTATTATAAAATAAAGATACATATTTCTCATTGAAATATTTTGACCAAACTAGGTTGGTAAATTTAAACACAATTTTTTTTAAACAAAAAAACCGGTTTTATATTGCATGTTTTTATTTCCAAGGCCAAGATCAGGTGGTATAATCCTAATGGACTTGTAATACATTATGAATTTCTGTTGTAATGTTGTATGGATGTAATAATTTTTTTTTTTAACCACTTTTAAACTGATCATCAAAATCAACTTAATTTAGAATAATTTTTAATAAACAACTTATTTCTGTTTTTATTTTATATATTATTTAAATAAGTTGGCACATCGAACAGTATTAGATATATAAATTTAAGAAATTTATAAATTTAACATTTAAATAAACAATAATCAAAATTAAGAAATTATAAATCTTATAGAAGGATGGTGGTAAAAAAATTATTTATTTTTAATTTATATTTATTGTGTTATATAAAAAAATAAAAATATTTTCGCATGCCATTCTTTAATCGATCAAAAATTATTTAATTTCGAGTCACATCAATATAATACCTATACAATATTGTATACACGTAATAATGTAATATTACAATAATAGTAAAAGGTGGTAGAATCAATCGAAAAACAAATAGCTTACAAGACAATGCGACTATGCGAGGTTAAAGCTACGATCATTATAATTAAATAGGTACCTACTTTTAAGCTTTAGCCTTGCGACAAACGAATTTCTTTTCGTTAGGAGAGGATGGTAGAATGTTGTAATTCGATTCACATGGCATAAATAGTTCATTCGGATTTTTTTTTTTTTTTATTGTTCTCTATAATAATTGAACTAACACGTGTGCTATAACGACGTTGCTCTAATAGTTCAGCAACACCGTTGCCGCTGCCGAGGAAACATGCCCACGATAGTAATTCGTTAAACAGCGCGCGGGTTTGGACAAATGTTTATGTAATTCATTGCCCGGAAGATTATGCTGATTGTTGTATGCCCGTGTGTGCGTGGGTTGTGACGAGATAAAAATAAGATGAAAAAAAAACCGAACAAATTAAAAGGTGAAATAAAAAACCTGTTTACCCTCCCAACCATGTAAAGTATTCCCTTTTCTGCACGAGAATTACACCGTGTATTTCTCCTACTCGGACAACACTCCCACTTCCATAACAGTCCAAGGTCTGTACCGTCTTATCCGTCTCCTCGTCGACCGTCGTAAGACATGGGTAATCGAAAAGTGAAAGTGCGGTGTACTAGACGTGTGTAATCACCAACGACAGCAGTGTTTGATGTAACGTCGTTACCAAAGTACGAAACCACCACCGCGTTTGTTATTAAAATAACCATTTAAATTTGATCAGTGACAAAAATGAGTGATTCATACGATAGGATAACGATTTGCCAAGCAACTATCTGTCATGCCATCTTCTTATTATTGTAATTCTCAAACGCCACCACCTTTACCACCGGCCAGAACTCTGAGGCGCAGGAAGTCACTATTTGTTGATAAAGGTTTGATTATACCCTACGGTTATTAAAGCACACGACTCGAATAGGTAAATTACTTTAAGTTAAATAAAAGCCACTCGCAAAAAATTATTGTAGATTAGCAAATAATTATTATTTCAGTATTTTAATAATTATTTTAAGTCAATGTTTGTCATTTGTTAATGTTCTTTGTTTTGCTCATTTTAACATCTAAAATATGTGAAAATTTCAACTAAGCAAATTATTAATAACTCAAAATAACGATAATGTATCATGATGTTTTTAACTAAAAATACAAATATTAAATTAAAGCTAAGGGAACTCTAAATTATTTATTATTGTTTAAAATTACTACTGCTTAGTGGGTTGTAATTTGATAATCACGAATGATTAATCATATTTTTTAAATATTTTTGAGGATGACCTGATGACATATGGTTGTATACTCTTGAAGGTCGTATCGTGGGAAGAAAAATATATTAAAAATGATAATCACCAAATAGTATTATTTTGATTGTTTTATTACATTATTATTTATTGCTATATTGATAATACTTAAAATAGTTATAATTGAATTATATTAATTATTAATAGTTTGTGTTTAAATCATTTATTGGTATTGAATTAAACCTTAAATGAAATAGAATCTCAGTCTTTTTTTTTTGTTTTGTGAAAGGAAAGAACATAACCATTAGCTACATAGGAAGTTCATAAGTATACATTTATCTAGATGAAAATATAAATGAGTGCCGTAATCTTACCGAAACAATTAGCCAACTGTAAATAATCGAGCGTGTGCTTTAACTAACCATATCATTTTGCATTTCTGAGGATACGCCTTTTTAACACATTCAATATACCAATGCTTTCTTTAGTTTCTATATCGTCACAATCCGTAATTAGTTTCATAAAGGATGTCCCTGAACAGCTTAACTACAAAAAAAATCCATGTGATTTTCTAAACGAACAATTGTTAAGTGTAGTATTGAAGACAGTTTTCCTCGAAGGGAAATTTGAGTCGCAAGAGCTATCTTTATTTTTTGATAATGGTAAGTTGTATATTTAGGTACTAGTTTACTACTAATAAACCAAATAGATATTTTATTTTAAAAATGTTTATATATGTTTATTATATTTTTACATTTGTGCAATTCGTATAGATTCATTTAAATAATTTAAAATATAACACTGTATTTCTTTCTGTGTTAAAATCTGTTATGAACCTACCACTTAATTAAATATATATATATATATTTATTTCATATAAAAAAAAAATATATTGTTTGTATAGATACTGGAAATACTATAAATCAAGAAATACCAGAAAATATCTATGTTTTCGATTCATTTAGCTCTGATAATTCCTCTGATGATGACGGAGAAAATGTCAAACGGATACCCGAGTATCCATGCAAAGATCGAGTCTTGCCAGCTCCGCCAAGCGATGAACGAAACTATGGAATTGGTCCATTAGTCAATAAAGCTAGGAAACGATTTAAAAAAGGATGGTCATTTGGATCACTTAGTTCACTTGGCATAAAACGTGTAGGAAAATTAAGCCAAGGAAATTTAAGAGCCAACTTTGGTAAGCGAACATTTTAAAATTTGAATAAATATTTTTTTAACTATATATAATGGATAATTTAATGTTCTATAGATAATAGAACTTATGAAAGCACATCAGATAAAAGTATTGACAAAAGTTTTAATTCATTGGCGAATAGTAATAGTCCGTCTTCATCTGTTTTCTATATTCCCATATATAAACACATTATGTAAGTATTTAAATTGAGTATTAGACATGTATGACACATCTATTATATTTTATACAACATAATATGACAATTGAAATCAAATATTTATTTATAGAGGAAATGGTGAAATTCGGCCTATACGGAATAGAAACAAACCGCCATCGTCCATTGATTCAAGACGTCTAAGTGTAGCAAGACCTAGTTCACCACCACCCCCTCCACCAGTAAAACGACATTCAACTGGTAAAATAATGGAAATATTAAACATAAAAATTATAATTTTACAGTATTAGAGCCCTAAATGATTAAAATTGCTTTGTCAACAAAATAGTGATTTTAATTGATAATGATAAAGAAATAGTAAATTCTTATTTTACCTTTTAATTATTTTTAAAACTATGAATATTTTAATCGCTACTGTTGAAAAATTTTATTTTAATTTATTACTTATATCAATGGCTTTTCTACGACCAAAATATCAATAGACGTTTTTCTTAAGTTATGTAGTTTTAAAATCAGATTTCAGTTAAAAATTTTTAAAAAATGATGTAATATTCTTTAAAAAAATATTAATAAATTATTTTTTAATCGAAATTGTAATATATTAGCCTCTCTTGAAATTTTCATGTTTATGGGTTACATCAATTGGCCTTTTCAACATTTTATGTAAGTAACTGCTGTGTGTTATAGGGAACACTACTTATGGTTCATTGCCTCGTTCAATTTATAATTCTAAAGGAAGGCCGGGCATTTCATTGGATAAGAGTAGCACTGAATCAACGTCTGAGAATGGTATTATTTTTAGTTAATTTTTTACAGTAATTTTATATTTATGATAATGCATTTCATTTTACAGGTTCAAATCATGGTTCAGATTTGTGCATGCGATTTGCTGACGAACCGTTGTATCAGTTTTATGCAGCTGATATATCTAAAGTATGTTTTATTATAAAATTATTATTAAAGATATTTATATTGTTTAAATAAATAAATTATACATTTGATAATATTTTAATCTTGAGTTTTATTTTTTTTTACAGCGGACAAAAAGTGTTTTTGCCGGCGACATAATGGAAGATTGTGATGGTTATGAAGAAATTAGTTCAATTACAAGCAGACCATCAGCTTTAGAGCTTATAACACCTTGTACATCTGGTCATGGGCAACATAGATCTTTATGGTGTGAAGTTCCAGAAGTAAAAAATAGTGGCATTATAGGTAAGTTATTTAATCATTTTTAAAAATTAAGAAAGCATACCTAATAATATTACTATTTGTATTGATTTTAATAGACTCGTTAACACCAAGAGAGCGAAAGTTACAAGAAGCAAAGTTTGAATTAATAACTTCTGAAGCATCTTATTTTAAGTCTTTAACTGTTCTTGAGAAACATTTCATAAATAGTCATTCAATGAATGACGATACAATTTTAAGTAAAAAAAATCAAAAGATTTTATTTGGAAATGTTAATGCGGGTAAGTACATCATGGTATTTTTATTAAATATGAAAATGATTGCAGGTTGTAATATGTTTTTTGTTTTAGTACGAAAATGTTCTGAAAAATTACTGGCGGCATTAGAAAAATGTTGGCAAGACAACATACTACTTAGTGGACTTAGTGAAATTTTATACACACATTCTAAGGAAAATTTCGATATTTTTGTAAAATATTGCTCAAATCAAATTTATATAGACCGTACTTTAAAGTCATTAAGGTAAAATATTTCATTTCAAAAGTATTAAATAAGCATTATACTAAATTTTGAAAATGTTTAATTTAATTTTAGAGAAAATCAAAAATTCAACGAAGCTTTACAAAGACTGGAATCAGATCCAAAGTGCCAATCGCTCTCTCTTCATTCGTTCCTAATGTTACCTATGCAAAGAATAACTAGATTACCTCTCCTCGTTGATGCTATTTTATCACAAATGGATTTAAAAGAAAATGCTTTGGAGTATCAAATGTGTGAATTGACTTTAGCTTCTTTAAATGCCGTATGTATAATATAATTTTATTTAAGCAAATATTAATTTTACTACCAACTATTTTTTATATTTTCATTTTATTAGATTGTTCAAAACTGTAATGAAAGTACTAGAAAATTAGAACGTTATGAAGAAATGTTGTTACTTAGTCAACAATTAGAATTTTCTAGTAAAAAAGAAATGAAAGCTATGTCAGTAGCTTCTAGTTCACGCTGGTTAGTTCGTTCTGGATCTATGTTGCATTTAACTGGTCCCGATGCAAAGTTAACATTTAGCCGAAAATTGATACGGCCTACTAAACTTTACTTCTTCCTATTCAATGATATGTTTTTCATAGCAAAACGCAAAAGGTATATCAATATAATAAATAATAAATAGTATTCATAAAATTATTTACACTAATATTTTTACAGTGATGGAAACTATACGGTGATAGATTATTGTGCAAGAAATTTTGTAGAAATGGAACATACTACTGAATTAATTATTCCTTCATCATATAAAAACCTTTTGAAGCTAACTATTTTAGAAAATCATGAAGGAAAAACTGTTGAAATGGTATTTAAGATTCTGTTTTTTTAAAATGTAGATTTAAGATATGTTTATTTAAATTTTTTAAATAATTTTACAGTTATTGAGTTGTGATTCTGAATCTTCAAAAAAACGTTGGATTGAAGCAATGTCACCTCCTATAAGTTCCAATCCTGAAGAAACATTATATAATGAATGGGACTGTCCTCAAGTGTTTTCAGAACACCCGTACGTTGCTGTTCAACCTGATGAACTGTCATTACAAAATGGGGACATTGTAAAAGTCTTGACTAAAATGAATGATGGTAATATTTTTATTACAAATTAAAAACAATTTTCAAACGTGGACATTAATATATGTTTTTAAAACTATTAATTTATCTTAGGATGGTACCATGGTGAACGAATTCGTGATGGCGAAAAAGGTTGGTTTCCTGGTAATTACACAACAGAAATAGCATCACAACATGCTAGAGCAAAAAATCTTAAGCAACGTTATCGTTTGTTAGCCATGTCTGGAAGTTACCTGCAGTCTCGACAAGATAAAATTAAAAAAAAAAAAAGTAGTCAAATTATTTAAATTGAATTATTGTTAAAAAAAAATATATATTTACATTTTAAAAATAAAACCTTTTTAACAAGTAAATACATTATTATAAAACAGTTAAGTTGTTTATTGTTAATAATTTGTTCTATTGACTTTAACTTGTAATAATATACTATTAGTATTTAATATATATCAACATTTATTCCAATATACATATATAAAAAGAATTAGAAAAATGCATTAAGACTTATTGAGAAAAGTGTTGATCAATGATTGTAGAAAACAAAAAATATAGGAAGGCACCTTAGATTTGAGTTATGATATTATTATGTTATATTTATTTACTGGTTAATTTATTTTGTTTTCTGTAAAATTATTTATCCTTTTTGTATTTACCTTGACAAGGTTAAATAATTAATCTCGCTCATTTAATTTTAATTAAATAAATGTAAATAATTATTGTTTATGATTTTATAATGTATTATTGTTTCTGTTATTTACAATATTATTATACTTTTTATGGTTTTTACTTAAAAATAAAGTATAAAAAATGTTATAATTATAATATTATATTTTGAAATGTGTATTTAAACTTTACTATATTTTGATATAAATATGTCTTGGAAACACTCCTATAACAACCATAAAACATTTCACTATAACACTCCATTGAACTTATATTATAAACAATTTTATCAATAACTAATCAATTAAATGGTTTAGTGCTCATGAAATCGTGGCTTACAGAGATTCAAAATTATCAAAATTATGAAAATATTTGGTTATGTGTCACACCTAGTTATTAAATAAATTAGGATATCAACAATTTTGAGAATTTCAGACTTATTTTTAGAGAAAATGTGTCATCCTCTATTTCTAATGATTTTTCATGTTTTATATATATTATTGAAGGGTGTAATCAAAATAAAATAATTTAACGTCACTAAAATATAAAGCATAGGTAGGTAAGTCTAATACCTAAGCTTTGCTATATAAAACTCGTATTCATTGATCAAATAACAAAAAAAAATATAATTATAATTATTAATAAGAAGTAATAGTAGTATTTATTTTTTATTCTAATAAATTGAATATTTTACATAATTCTACGTAATATTTTCGAATGTCGAGTTTAATATGGTTAAGAACGCACATCACGAGTACCTATGCGTTTTTGATAATAGGTTTGTACATGTTAACAGTTTTGTACACGGTGAAAAAGTAAATAGAAGACGATAAAAACAATGATCGCCTTGATAGTTGTTATTTTTCATGAGAGCAATTATGATTGTAATTTAGAAAGGATTTTTAGATGATAAAAAGTCAACCAATATCAAATAACATACAATATTTTTTTAATTATTAAAACATTTAATATAAATATTCTTTTTTTGATGATTTGTTTATTTTTCATGAATTTGAATTATTTCAAGAATAATTATTGGAACAAATTCGTACAACATAAATCAATCAAACTTATTTTTTTCCATAGACTCATCAATACAATATAGGTATATTTCATTTTATAATGTTAAAAATTAAAATAATTAAATATTATGTAATAATACGAACTATTATAAAATGTATAAGTTAGGTACAACATAAAGCATTGCAGATTAATAAATCAATATTTGGTGACTCCATATCAAATAAATTTAATTACTAATTTTTTAATTAATGTGGTAAGCAAATATTTTACCACCCACCTATATACGTATAATCAACCTAAAATCTAAATTATAACTTACTTTTAATTTGTATTGTTATACTTTGCAGCTCTACGAAATTTAATAGTAATATAACTATCGATTAAAATATAAATTTAACCTATTCAGAACGCACCCGCATACATAAATATTTATGACGTCAATATATTATTATAAAATATTCAATCAAAATTGTGTAAATTAATATCGTTGAATTTTGACGTAATATTGTTAATGGATAAAGTACATATTCATATTATAGTATATTTATCGTGTCATGACGGAAGCGAAATTTATTAGCGAACAAAAACCTTGTTGCATCTAATAATAATAATAATAATAATATTTTGTTGCATAGATAATGTTATAATTCATTGTTTTCACACTTCCATTTAACGATAACAAATTGTAAGGAAATTTTGCTACTAAAGGGGTCTTTAAACCTAAAATGGACCAAAGCTTAGGAAAAAGACCCAACATAAAATTTTGAAAAATGAAAATGTATGATAACATAATTAAAATAAATCTCACAAATGCACAACTTTCTACAGAGAATAGCTCATTTAAACACAAATACACGTTAACTTTAAAAATGTAAATGTTTTTGGACTTTTTTTTTTTAAATAACTGAATTCATTAGTTAATTAGATACATTTAAATAACTATTGGTTTGAAATTAGATTTTCATGTATTTAAATTCTTAGAAAAATACTCTACTTTGGGCTATACATTAAAAATATAATATTTTAATATTATAATAATGTTAAAAAATATTTAGTATTTAAAATAATCATTTTTCAATGCCTAGGTTAAATAATCACATAAACGAACGAATAAATTAATAAGATATAATTTAAATTATTAATGTTCAACATTCAAACTATGTTTTAATTTTTTTGTTTGATATGTATTTATATCTATACCCATATAAATATATAACATACACACAACAGGCACACACACACACACACACACACACACATACACACATATATATGTCGCATCCATATGGCATTATTATACGTTTCACAAAAGAAACAAAGTTTATATCTATTTCGTGAAATGGAAACGCTTTTTTCCCACTTCACGTAATTCCGCTATGTGGATAACATTTGAGAAATGGATATCTAAACTACACATAACGGAACTAGTACCGTCATCTGGAAAACACTTAGCGTAACAATATTTATAATTATATTTTTTATTATTACTGATTATGAATATCATAATGAATTAATAATTATGAAAATTATTAACTATAAATATAATGAAATATGAAAATTATGAATTTCGACCTATTTATATTAATTATTTGTTTAAAACATAGAATAGAATTATTATGACACTGAGAGTTGAATTTTAAATTGGCCTTAAAACAAGCCCGATTTTTTGTTTAGGATTTGCTTTTACAATGGCTATTAAAAGAACCTTGTCATCCCGTTAATGTATAAACAGTTTAAACGTTTTCTCGAATTTATGTTTTACTTGCTTTAATCTGATAAAACTCAAAAAATCTGGTTGTAAACTTCCTGCACCAAACCAAACTTTAATAATTCCATGTTCAGTTACAAATTACCAATTGGTTTATATCATTGTTTTTAATCAACCACTACTCCAATGATGTTCGATGAATCCGACAGATCTCTATCTACCTTAGGAACTAGAATGATCATACAATCTCCAACATTATATGTAGGTATTATAATATGTAGGGTCGTCATTTGGAAGGAGATTGGGGAATGCCATTATACCCTTTAATTTTAAAATAGTACTAATTGCCTGCGCCGTACTGAGATAATGTTCAAAATTAAATCTTCTTAAATGATATTTTAATTTTGACATTTATCAATATTGGTATACTGCCAATTATTCTGATTATAAATTATTTATTATATTTCAGTTTTTATATTGATTTTTTCTATTAATATTGATATAATAATTCGGTACATGTGATGTAAGGAAATAATTGAATTTAGAATAACGTATGTACTACAACGTATAACTATTATTATATGGCCTAGTGAAATTTTAAAATAGCCTACTTGAAACCTCGTGCACCCTAAAACAAAACCCGAAATGGCGACCCTGATCTAATGGCAAATATGAAATTTCAAAATTCAAAACTTATTCCTTCACCCATATTTTGCATCAAATGTGATTTTCATAAAAAAACGGTTTTCGAGGCCTTTTGTTGTAGATTTTTCGAAAATCAAATTAATAATTACATTAAATGATAGAGCGACATCCGTCTAAATATTATAGTTTGTTTCAAACTAGTTTACAAACAAATTACACACTAAAAAATAAGAATTATTAGATTTTTAACAAAAAAAAAAAATCAGCAGTGGTCTATGGGCCGTAAGAGAAAAAAAATTGTATATTTTTATTTTTTTTTTTTATACTCACTATTTTCTGGTATCTTGTCTTATGCAGGTGCGTAATTTAGATGGGGGATCAGGGTGTGCCCTGCTGAGATAATGGTCATATTTAAATCTTTTTAAATGATTTTTTAATTTTTATTTTGGCATTTATCAATATTAGTATAGTGTCAAATTATATGATTGTTAATTAATTATTATATTTTCGTTTTTAAATTGATTTTTTTTTTTTATGTATATTGATGCTATAATTCGGTACATACAATGTATGAAAATAATTGAATGCATGATTTTGTACAAGTACGTATATCTGTTTTTTATATGGCCCAGTGAAACTTTAAATGGCCTACTTGAAATCTGGCACATCTAAAAAAATATCTTAAATGATGCCCCTGACTTATCTTAAGGTTTACCTATAGTTATTAAATAACTAGCCAACTCGCTTTGATGTCTATTTGTTACCAATCTTACAGTTTTTAATTACTTTGTGTCATAATTGTTTGTTCATAATAATATTACACGATTATTTCAACTAAATGGAAGAGTTTAACTACCTAAATATAATATTGGAGACTGTATGATCATTCTAGTTCCTAAGGTAGATAAAGATCTGTCAGGAAGTTTACAACCAGATTTTTTGAGTTTTATCAGATTAAAGCAAGTAAAACATAAATTCGAGAAAACGTTTAAACAAACTGTTTATACATTAACGGGATGACAAGGTTCTTTTAATAGCCATTGTAAAAGCAAATCCTAAACAAAAAATCGGGCTTGTTTTAAGGCCAATTTAAAATTCAACTCTCAGTGTCATAATAATTCTATTCTATGTTTTAAACAAATAATTAATATAAATAGGTCGAAATTCATAATTTTCATATTTCATTAAATTTATAGTTAATAATTTTCATAATTATTAATTCATTATGGTATTCATAATCAGTAATAATAAAAAATATAATTATAAATATTGTTACGCTAAGT